AGCACCACCATTCCACAGTATACCTCATAGAAGAGGTCCAGCATCTATCATTTCTTCTATCGGGTGTATCACCAACTCTGAAATTAACAGGAATCACAACACTGTTTTATAACTGTATACTTGGAATGGGTCTGAATGTTACTCGAAGGAGTATGTGGCTCCCTATTTATCTTGTTTTTATTTTACACCCTCTCACTTTGCACATTTTTTAAATTTGAAAAATTACTACACTTGTTTATAGTGTGTGTGCACACATGCACCTACATGTGTACAATTATAGCCTGTGCATGAAAGTCTGAGAACTTTTAAGAGTCAGTTCTCTCCTTCCATCATGTGGGTCCTAGGGATGAAACTCAGGTCATCAGGCTTGGCAGTAAGCATCTTTTCCCACTGAGTTATCTTGTTGGCCTAATTTGTGTGTCTGTCTGTCTGTCTGTAATTGCACATGTTGCCACAGTATGCATGTGGAGGTCAGAAGGCAACTCTCTTGCATTGGTTCTCACCACTTTGTGGGATCTGGGGATGAAACTGAGTTCATCAGGCCTCCTCACGAACACCTCTATCCACTGAGCCATCTCAGCAGTCCTCCCTTTCCACTTTTAAAAAAATCAAGTCTCAGGGCTGGAGAGATGTCTCGGCAGTTAAGAACAATGGTTGTTCTTGCAGAAGACCTGGGTTAGAATCCCAGCACCCACATGGCAGCTAACAACTGTCCATAACTCCAGTTCCAGGGGATCCGATAGCTTCTTCTGTCCTCCGCGGGCACTGCATGACAACAGGTGTACTTACCTACATGCAGGCAACACACACATATACATAAAATAAAAATATTTTTTTTAAAAATCAAGTCTCTGGATTTTGTTCCAAAAACCAGGCCTTTTAGATGAATACAAGATGGCAGTTTCATCAGATACCCAAGTATTGGTGTGGTTTGCTTTTTTAGCACATCCTGCACTTTCCACAAAGAATTGTAACATTCTATTTAATTCTTTCCATTTGAGACCAAATGTATTTGGACATAAGAAACAAGATGTAGACACTGACCATGAACATTTTTGGATAACACAGGTATAAACGTTTTATCTAGAATATGTCTGGAATAAGCTTCAGTGCCTCTTTCAACATCTTTTCTCAACTACTGAAAGGAAGACGACAGACCTATACTTTGTTGCTATCAGGAAGATAAGTAACTATCAGGAAACAAAATAAGTGGGTAACTATCAGGGACCGCAGTAAGCTCTTTATGCAGGTACAATAACCCAATGAACCTTCAAAAAATTATTAAAAACTCCATCCTGTAGATCATCAAACCAGGCTCGGTGAAGCCAAATGAACCCCACGGTTTCAAAGTTATACAATGGCAGATCTGAGGCTCAAACTCTGATGTGGTGACTACAAATTTCATCTTCCCAAAACTGTATGCTATGGTGCTTTTATTTTTTCCACTTGTATGCCTCTAATGGCATGAACTGACCAAAGTGAGAATTCTTTCAATTATCTAAAATGATCCACAAAATTACTAGATCCTATATAGCAAGAAAAGGTGGGAGAGACAGTGACAGTCATTTCAGAATACAAGCAATTTCTCATTACACATCTTCTAACAGATTAAAAAGAGGATTCTTAATCATTAAATAAGTGTCACAATACAGTGCTAATGATGCCACCACCCACTGTGAGCTATGGGACAGGTACAAGACTGCCTTCCTTCATTACCTTCTTGTGTGTTTTCTTTCCCCAAGAAAATAGTTGGCTTTTCAAGGTTAATTAAAAAATCATATCCATGTTTTGGAGCCCTAACAATATCAAGCACTTGGAATACAGTATTTATAGTGATTTAACGAATAAATATTAGTCAACTCACATTAAATTTTGTGTTAGAAAAAAAGAATCATGAATTGTAACAATAAGCTATTATGTGAAATTCAAACAACTAAAGGAGATTCAGAAGCCTGAAAAGTTCTTTATCAGATCTGTTCATTTCATGTGCTTGAAACTATTAAACACTTTTTATTTTGCACAATTGTCAACTGTACATTTGACAATCTAAATTATTCTGTTAATAAAAGAGACTATTAACAAAAACTTATACAGGAGTAAATGGTGAGAGATTGGAACGCTGAATGACAGCTTGAGGAAGAATGAGAGAAGTGCACTGTTTGGGAACCATGTGGCCATTTGTTACCTGTTTCCCAAGTAAGATTTTAAATTTTTGGCCTTTTAACAATAGTATTAGGAAAATACACTATTTCAAATGATAAGGACAATAATTTGTTATTTTTTACTCTTAACTATCTATAAAGCAAAGCTCTCTCCTCTTCCCTGTTTTGCAATGAACTACCCTGTTCCCGAATGGCAGTATTAAATTTAGACAGGACAAGGAATGGATCTGCAAAGCTCACCTATGAAAAAGAGAAACCTTGGCTGACAGGGAAAGGAAGGAAGTCAGGCATCAGATGCTGGTGCAGAGGATAGACCAGCTCTGACAGAACACTGGAAATACGAGTAAGAAATATACACTATTGTAATCCAACACGCACTTGTGGCTACCAGGTACACAGGAAGTGGTGACAAAGATCTAAGCACACAGTAAGGCAGGGCGCAACAGAAGGAACAAATGCCACTTCATATATCTGAATCCAGAAACCAAAGTTATGATCTTGGAAATTACAATAAAGATCTGTGCAAAGGAATCACTAATACATCCTCCATGTGTCATCACCACAAAAATAAACTGACACTAGCACAAGCAAGAAATAATGCAGTGATCGGGTTCTAAGTCAGAAATATAGTTTTAAACATTCTTTAGTAGACCTTCCACTCTTGCACAGAGCTTAAATCTGTAGAGATCTGAGGTTCTTTATAATGTGGGAAGGAATGGTTGAAAGTTAAAAAACACAAAGAAATGGTAAGCTGCTTTTCCTCAAATATAGAGATTCTAAAGTCCTTAGTAAGCTGGAAAATGCTGAAATAAAAGAAGAGTAACAACCATGTGTATGCATGCATGTAACTGTGGGTAAAACTCCCTTATTCAACCACAGCACTAAAGAAGTGGAGGCAGGAAGATCACAAGTTCAAGGCCAGCCAGAGCTACAGAGCAAAACTCTATCTCAGAAAGCAAACAAACATCACAAAGGACAACAATAATGAAGGTGAACCACTGTAACCCAAAGTGAAGTATCTGGTCCCTCAGGTTCTGCCCTCCATACAGCAAGGGTCCCAAGTTTCACCAACAAGGTCATGTCAATCCTCTTTCTGCTAGTCAATACCTACAGTTTACATGAGGGCCATTCTTCAGTCACAAAAGGAGAACAGGAAAGCACATTCCAGGGTCGCAATGAAATGCATACACTTCACTAACCAGAAGAAAAGGATAAGCAGTATATGAAAATTTCGCTTTTATAAGATAAACATCCACTGATGAATCCCGCTACAAGATTTTGCAACATTACATTAAGAGATAGTGAACTAAAAACAGAATGGGGAATGTTGTGCATGGGTGAGTCACAGTAGTCAGAGCAACTTAGTTTGTCTAGACAAATAACCTAAATTGCCGTTACTGTTTTCATATTACCAAAAACCACTTTCCTTTAAATCACAGCATTTCCCTTATTTTATTAATTATCTCAACTCAGGTTGTTTTCCATTTATCTTTTAAAATCCTGGGCAAAAACAGCTGGCTTCAATAACACCAGCTCTAGCATAAGGAAGAGTCCGACTCACCTGATTTACATTACTAAGTCACAGGTATCTCTGATCTACTTCTATCAAAAATCCGCTCACCCAAGATCGTAAATACACCAAAATTCAGAGAGGAAGGAATAGAACAGCAGCGTTACAGAAACACTGGAGCTCTGTGGCTCTGGACTGGCTCTCTCAATGGGGACAGTCTTCTGTGTCCTTACAGCTGGCACTGCACTTCTGTGGTGTAGAAGAGAGCTCAAAAACTCAGGGAATAACAGATGAACCCAGGACTTACTGCCACTTGTCGGTAATGTAACCTGCTAGCCCACGTTAAGATGGAGATGATTATGTTTACTGTGCTTGAGATGCACAGCACATACTCCATGGTGCTCACAGTCTAGATGTCAAGACAGACAAGGAAAAAAAAAAAAAAAACCAATACAACATATTTACATTCTCTAGGAGCAGAGATAACCCTCTTTATTTGATAATGAATCTGCTAATGAAACTACAAGAGTGGAAATACAAATTTCAATGCTTGTGATTCAGGGAACAAAAAAGCAAAATAACGAAAGCAGTTATCTATAAAATTCCCACAGCAGCAGTTTCTACTATTACTCATCAGAAACACTTTTAAAAGTGTAATTACAGATGTATTTATGAATTAAGATTAAGTATTTCTTATCCAAAATGGTCTGGGACCAAAAGGTATGCCAGATTTTGGAATATCTCCATATATGTAATAATCTTGGCGATGGAATCCAATACTAAACATGAAATTCATTTACATTTCATATATATATCCTATAGAGGTATCCTGATGGTAGTTTTTATATAATGCTTTTGGTTGCCTGTATTTTCACTGTAACCTGTCACGTGAGTTCAGATATGGAATCGTCCAGTATCATATCAGTCCACAGAGTTTCAATTTTTGGAGCATTTTGGATTTTTGATTAGGGATGCTTAGTCTATGTTATTTTTCATACCCATTTTTCTAGAATTATTTAAAACCATTAATGTCAAAAGTCCCTCTAGTCAACTGCCTTGCAGGCCATCTGACTTGTGATCCCATGCAAACAATCAGTCAAGTCATGTGATCCCGTCTGCACCGGCTATGTTTTTCTGGACAACAAGCACATCACAATATCACCAAACTATTAGAACAACAAAACCTGTATTGATATCTGTTTTGATAATACAGAGCTTTAAGTCAATACTTAAGTACTTTTAAATACATGAAAGAAATACACATTTGAGAAATGCACTTCAAAGAAAAGCCAAATATGGACAGCAGAGCAGCAAGTCCTGTGATTTACCTTTTTGTAAGCATAGGAACCGGTTTCATGCAGAATTGCCACTCTGAATGGAGGCCACCATGTGTGGAATTCTTTCACCCACTGATGCATCACTGTCGTTGGGCAGACAATCACAGTGGGGCCCAACCCCTCAAACCTGCCCCAAAGGTACAAAAAAAAGCTAGTGAGGTTAATAGTAAGTAAAACCTATATGAGTTCATTCATCACTTAGTAGATACAGGAATTAAGGCAAAACACCAAGTGATCCACTAAACGTTAACATCCATTGTAAAGGAAAAATTACACAATATAGAACAAAACTACTTTTCTTGCCCCTTCTATTTCATATTCATCAAGTTTGTATACAGTGATCTTAAACCTAACTGAGCACAACAGCATCTTAAATTTGCTTGAAGCTTTACAGTCTGTCAAGAGTTTTCAGACCACAAAATTTCAATGCATCTTCACTGCCCCAGAAAGCAAGCAGGACAGACATGGTTCAGGGGCTTGGAGACCATGTGCCCAGAATGACATGGCCACCAAGAGATGAAGGAAAGCCTAGTGGCCAGCCCTCTGGTTGCCATGGTCTGTGCTCACTATGACATGCTGCCTACTTCACTGTGCAACAGCAACACAGAGAAGGAGCATCCCAGTGGTCACTGCCTCCAGGAAAGCTACATGCTAGAGTGCTCACTGGACCCCTGGGAAAGCAATGAGCAGCAGATCCCAGCCAGAACCTTAACAACAGCCATACTGGACAAGCCAGTATACCAGGTGTACCAGGTGTACCAGGATGCATACTGCAACAGTTTATACTATGGAAGGTGGACATGAGAGAGGTAACAGAAGTACCCCACATGGGTGCAGAGCACAGTGGGTAGGGGCACTGCGTGGGTCTGAACGCCAGCTCCGTGTGATCCCAGGCACATTATTTCATCTCTTTGAACCTCAGTTTCTCATCTTCAAGAGAGAGAATAATAATAGTACTGAACTTACAGAGATACTATGAAAATTAAGACCGTTAACATCTGTGAAGTGCTTAGAACAGTGTTATTTAGTAAATACTAAGTGAGTTTATTAAATAAGATAGGATACCATATAACCATCAAAACAACTTTTTAAAGAATACTTACTAGCCTGAGAAAATGTTCATAATAAACTTTTAAAAATCAAAATTTCGATAATTCCAATTTCCCAACACACAGGCAACTGGTGACAGGTGGTAAGCACTGTGTCAAGCTGCTCTTCCCCTCACTCCTTCCTTGCCTCCCTTCACTCCAGTGGGGGTGGCAAACTCTCCTTCTCAGAGAGGCCTGTTTAATGGGGCTCTAACCATTGGTATGGCCATGAAGTGGGGAATCCCATCCATCCATAGCCTATCAGTACCCAGCATGCCCTTGACGCTCTCCCAGGCAGAACTGACTGACTTGGGAAGGAAGAACTCCCACTCCAGGTGGGGGAGTCATTTTTCTTGCTCTCTCTTGCTGTATATGCAGGTATTAGTTGGTGCTTAAGATGAAATAAAAATCAAAATATCTGTGATGTCCCCACAGGACTACATGCCACCTCTCTTCCAGGGCTTCCCAATCCAGAGGACAGAACTGGCACCCGTTCTCTGGGGAATCAAACCAAAGTCAGCTTTTGTCCCTTGATCAATCCTCATGTTCTCTAACTTAAGCCATCTATACTGTTTACATCACTTGCAACTCCTAAATCTCTCTGTAAGCTACCATGTCTCTCCCTGTATAATGTCACTATCCAGTTACAGCTAATACCATCTCATCTACATTCTGACAGCTTCTGATACTTTCTGAAAGCAAAATCTAAATGTCTCATCCCCTCATCACATATGCTAACCCTGCTGTGATGTGTGTTACTCCTAAGTGCTTTACAAGTAAGTAAGGACAAGCTCTTCTTGGAATGTTCTCAGGGCCTAGACCACAGCAGGAAAGGAAAGAATACGAAAACATTTCTTTAAAGGTTGGAAGAAAATATGTCAAAATGTGAAACATTATTTTTGAGTTGGGAAATTGTGCATAAATTTTATTTTCTTACTAGAGCTTAGGAAAATATTCCTGAACTTAAAACATTTGCAAATTTCCATGTGAGCCGCATAGTGCTTGAAATATTAAGTTATTATCTGCAGAACTGGAAAATAACTTGTCTAACAGAAAAATAAGATTCTAGCCAACTCTAATGAAAAAGAGCTTTACCCTTGCATTCCAACATGACGAGATGCCTCTGTCTACTTATGAGCCCTCCACCTCCTGTTGATGATCACTGTCCCCTGGACCTCAGAGTTGAAACAAGAATTCAGAGGCACAACAAACTCAATCCTTCCCACAAAATTTCCAAGCCATGCTGTCACCAAAGGCAGGGCCCAAACAGGTGTCCCTCACCCTCCCAGGGGAGAGCAGGACTCTACCCTGACCCTTGGGCCCTTCCATGATGGCATTTTTTTTAAAGATTAAATACCCCCGCTTCTTTGTATCCTCCCAGGGGTAAAAGGGCGTTATCAATACACACTTAACAGGGATTAGGTAACTGCCGATCAACAGCTAAAATATTCTAAACCAAGCTCACATTTAAATAAGCTTGGATGTATACGTATGTAAGTCCTTTCAGGTTGTACAGTGTTTTCTGGCTTTTCTAAAATGCCTTCTGCAAACTACTATGTCAACAGCACACTGGTCACTGCTTTCTTCCAGCTAAACATCTACCTGGCACTATTATGCCCTTTAATTTCTACCATTCTCCCTCTATTAGAAGAATAAGGAGGTTTTCATGCTGAGCTGAAATCCCATAGCCCAGGCAGACTATTCTTGGACCACAGACCAGGCAATCAAGTCCATTAACAGGCAAGTAAGTGAACTACCCTTTCCCAACCTCAATACCAGTGAGATGATAAGAAATGGCTAAATGTGCTAGAGTGATCAGCATCAATTACCAAACTGACTTCAGTCCTTTCATCTTTGATTACCATTGATTACTTAATGAATTTAGCAAGTCAATAGCTCCATGGTCGAACATTTCAACTAACTGGTTGGAAACCTAAAAGCCATGGCCTAGAACTCACTAGAAATTACAAAGCATAATGTTTACCCTTAAAAGTTTACTAACTGTTTAAGGATATTAATTCTCCATTAGAATTAAATAAATGATTAAAATTAATTTAATTAATTAGTTAAATGATAAGCAAAGCAAGTACTGAATTATAAAATTCAGAGGGCCCATCACTATAATGGCAAAGTAAAACATCAGTATATCTATTATGAACTGGGAGCACAACCACCCATGTTCATCTACTCACTCATGGAATATGCTTCTCCCTCTCCTAGAAACAAACAGTTATACAACATACATTTTAAAACACAAAACAAGTTTCTTTTACTAGGAAGTCTCTGGTATCACAGAGACTTGCAGAGTTTCAGTGATCATGGACCTTGAAATTGCAACGTAAGAATCAGTCCAACATCTCTAGCTTGTAAGAGGTTTAAAGAAAGTACACAGAGTTGGGCTTGGTGGCACATGCCTTTAGTTCCAGCACTTGGGAAGTAGAGGTAGGCAGATCTCTGTGAGATTGAGGCCAGCCTGGTCTACATAGTAAGTGCCAGGACAGCTGGAGCTACAGGGAGACCCTGTCTCAAAAAGACACAAAACAAAACAAACAAAAAATGTACACAGTCAACAACTCAAGGCCAGTTCATGCAGATCTTCTTTCACCTTAAAAGCTAGTTTCTTTAAGGCATAAACAGAAGAGAACCCCGAGATCGTCTAGTGTAGAAGGAAGTGTTATATGGCTGTGCTTCAGTTCACTCAGCACATGAAGTGGAGAGCAGCCAAACTCCTCGGTACACCTCGACTCATAAAGAGCCCAGTACCTTGACTGATAACATCTCGGCATTCTCAGAGGAAGCCATGTCTACCAATACTGTTGCAAGAGAAATGACCTGGCACTAGTCCAATATGCTACACTATTTCATTATAGAAAGAGGATGTGAGCATTGATGGTTAACTGATCACAGCTGATGCTCACTAGAAGCCCTCGCCTCACTGCTACTAGGACTGCCACCACGCAAGAGGACATGTTTTAATTTTTAGATGAAAACTACACTACATAGATGACTTTAGGTTTTCTGCACCCAGAATGTTAAGACTCCACACAAGGCTCACGATAATAGAAAGGGAAGAGAAGAGAAATGGAAAAATGAGAAAATCCTGGAAATCATTTATGGAGAACAAGTCCTAGAAACCATCTAGGAGAGCTAATACATTGTAGTTATCAGAAAACCCCAAAAGGGTCACCAAGACCAAACCAACCGAAGAGCCTATTTGGAGCAGAAGTATTTTTTTTTGTTTAAATACTAATAGTCAGATAGGAAAACCTTGCATATTCATGTTCAACTGACTTTTCCCTTGGCCTGGAAAATAATAGACATATGAAGTAGTATTCTGACAGTTAAAGAAAGCCTTCTGCTTCAACAACAAAATATTTAGTCTTTAGAACTCTCAACAAGCTTCCCCCTCCTGTAGTCATATACGTGCAACTGGGGCTTTGAAAAATTAACAGGAGGCGGGTGTTTAGCAAGATGGCTCAGCCGTTAAGAGAACATACACACCCTACTGCTGTTGGAGAGGACCCGGTTCGGTTCCCAGCACTCACTTCGGGTACCTGTAACTGGAGCTCTAAGGGGTACAACATCCTCTCTCTGGCCTCTTCAGGCACCTGCACCCACATGAACATATTCCACCCCCAGACACTCATACATACACATAATTAAAAATGAAATATTTTTTAAAAAGAAAACTATCTGAAGACTTCAAACACTCCTCAAAGTAGTGTTGACCTGCTAAATGAACAAAAGTGTAATAAATAAAGCAGAGCAGTATCCCCAATGACTCAAAATAATAGTCTTTACTCAGAAGCTTATGGTCCATATTTGGCTATTAAACATTTCTTTATCAATGCTCCGGAGTACAGGTAATCACACTGTGCAGTTGCTGACTTTGGCCACACCAACACCGTTACAAAGGTGCATCCAAATTACATGCAGTGAGTGCCTCCAGCCCTAGGACACTTGTGATTCCATTACTCATACTCACTAGATAAACCTGAAACACGAGGAGTTCTAGGCTTATCTGAGTTCAAGATGAAATATCCTACATAATTTACCTAGCAACATTTTTACCAATATAGATATCCATGACAGGAATTTACAACTCAAACATGGAAATGCTAACAGCTCTTTATGTTAAGATCAAGCAATTCAGTGCTGCCATCTGAAACACAGTAAATGCTTTTTCTTTTAGAATAAAAACACTAACAGTGTATTCAAATCTCCAAGTAGAAAAATTAAAACCTAAACAGAGTTTTCTACAATTTTCGACAGTCCTTTAGACGCTGGTCTTGGGAGAGGAGTCCAAAATACAGTGAGCAGAGAAATAACTTCACCAAAAACAAGCCTGGGCACTCTTCTAACGCTATCATGCTCACAGACTAGGAAGGAAATATGGAGAACGGCTTCTTCAAAGCTCCAACTTTCCCCATGAATAGACTTTGTACTTACTGTAATGCTCACCTGGTCTCCTGCCAGAACAAATATTTTAATGTAAAACTTAATAAATGGGACTAAAGGTATTATGTCTAATTTAAAATTCCATATTGTGTAAACTATTGATATTAACATAATTGAGTTTGTAAACAATCCATTTGCAAGAAGTGCTAACCTTAGACATTGTATTGACCCAAAATATCTAGTGGGGCTCATCTGCAAAATGAAGCATCAATGCCTGGAATTCATTAAAAGTGTTACATGTTTAATTTCTCCTGCCCTACAGCTCCATTGTCTCGTAAAATTTTTCCTTTGATGTCCCCCACTAAAAGAATTAAAGGAATATTGTAATTGAAATGTCATCAATAATTCACAAGACCCTCCTCCACAGCAATACATCTGATGAAATATTCATTGAGCTCTACAGACTGACAGTCTGCAGAGGAGCACTTGCCTGTAATTTGAACCGCGAGTCCTGATCTTGCTGTAGCTCAGACCTGCCAAGAAGGCAATTATCTGGATGGTCTTGCCCAATCCCATCTCGTCTCCCAGAATTCCTCCTGCCTGCTGGCAGTGCAATTCCCACAGCCACCTAACACCTGTCTGCTGATACCTACAACAACAAACACCAACAAGAAAAGAGAAAATGGCAAATGGTGGGTAACACAGATTGTAACAGAAAGTACTCATGAATTAATCATTTGTTAGGTTCTAGTACCAATCAGAGAAATGTTCCGGATGTGTGTTTTACATGAGTACTATATTTATAAGGTCATACATTTTTGATCACCTAGGCATAAAATCACAAATTTTTCTTTATAGAATGTTAACACATTTCTAATTAAACTGATAGATGGGGTAATTGGGGACTATTTCATTTCTTTTTCAACATTAGAAATGGCTTGGTAAACAAGCATAAACTTACTAATCTTTTATTCACTTTCTGGGAAGCAAGAATCCCAAATATTCTTAGTATATAAAGTTCCATAATTTTTTTTTACAAAAAGAAGTGATACATTTTTTGTCTCAATCTGAATAGCATTAAAAAAAGGACAGAAAATCCACAATTTACAGCTTATACTGTTGCAAAGTCACTTGATAATCCTATTATCTTTTTAGAGGGAAAATTAAAAGTTAAGACTATAAACAAGTCTGACTAATAGGGCTGTTCTCAAAACATTAGTATATAATAGATGGTTCTGTTGTATTATTAGCAGAGGTAAAAAAGAACAGTTTATAAAGACTAGCACAAAAAGGTCTTTTAATATTTTAAAGCAGAAATTGATTAAAGGATTTTATCATAGATACAAGAAGATCAGGGCTATTAAAATTTTAAATAAGGAACACAGGAAAAAAGAAACAATATCTCCTCAAAAAAATCTAGCTGGTATTTCCCTTTTTGCACCAATAGCACATTCAACTCTGTAAACAAGAAAGTAGTTTTTTTTTTTAAGTTATAATAAAGCAGGGGCTGGAGAGATGGCTCAGCAGTTATGAACGCTGGTTGTTCTTGCAGGAGACCCGGGTTTGAATCCCAGCACCTACATGGCAGCTAACAATTGTCCGTAACTCCAGTTCCAGGGGATCCAACAGCCTCTTCTGACCTCCGCAGGCATTGCACAATACGGGTGCACTTACCTACATGCAGGCAATACATGCATACACATAAAATAAAAATAAATAATTTTTTTTAAAGTTTAAAATAAAGCAAAAAACATCTTCAAGAGGGGATGAATATCAGAATAGTAGAAAGATTGTATGCCAAGTTAACAATGTAGAGCAAAACCCACATAAGATAAAAGTCAAAGGACCTACCACCACCAAAGAAAACACCAAGGCTAAGGAGTACCAGCAGAAGAAGGTGGGTTTACTGTGGATATTTTTTTTTTATTGCCCCAGAATTTGCTACTTGGTATCTGCCCACTGAAAATCTCACTTTGAGCCAGCTACAGTAGCTCACATCTATAATCTCAGTACTTAGGAGGCAGAAGCAGGAAAATTCACAAGAGTTCCAGGCTTGTCTTGAACAAAGAAAGGAGTCAAGGAAGAAAGACAGGTGACAGACACACAGATAGACAGACAGGAAGACAGGTGACAGGCACACAGGCAGACAGATGGGAAGACAAGTGACAGGCACACAGGCAGACAGATGGGAAGACAGGTGACAGGCACATGGGCAGACAGATAGGAAGACAGGAGACAGACACACAGGCAGACAGATGGGAAGACAGGTGACAGGCACACGGGCAGATAGATAGGAAGACAGGTGACAGACACACAGGTAGACAGATGGGAAGACAGGTGACAGACACACACGTAGACAGATAGGAAGACAGGTAACAGAAACACAGGCAGACAGATGAGAAGACAGGTAACAGACACACAGGCAGACAGATGGGAAGACAGGTGACAGACACACAGGTAGACAGATAGGAAGACAGGTAACAGACACAGGCAGACAGATGAGAAGACAGGTGACAGGCACACAGACAGACAGATGGGAAGACAGGTGATAGGCACACAGGCAGACAGATGGGAAGACAGGTGACAGGCACACAGACAGACAGATGGGAAGACAGGTGATAGGCACACAGGCAGACAGATGGGAAGACAGGTGACAGACACACGGGCAGACAGATAGGAAGACATAGTTTTAAAAGTCTGAGTCTAGCTGTTGACACTTACAGTATAAGGAAAACTTTGAGACCTACACTGCTTATTAGCTTTGTTAATTATAATAAATACATTGGACAAGTACTTTGGAGGAAAAGATTGAAACTCAAAACCCAATGTAACTCTAGTATGAAAACAAGATCAATCAATTTGGGAAGAAAGACAATTCCATAAATACATAGCATGTCATTAATGAACAATGACTGCCACTCAAGGAGCGCACTCACTGCTTCACAATCAACCTGTTTGCAGCATATTTTATAGTCAGGAAGCAAAGGCTCAGATGTTTGATTAACTTGTCAAAGTCATACTACTAAGAGAAAGCAGGAGGAAGGGAAGGGTAGGGTGAGAGGGAAGGCGGGGGAGGGAGAGGGAGAAATTTGCTCTCTTGGGGCCGTTTGGTAATTATCTACAGACTTTTTTTGGAGGGTCTCCCTGTAACCCCAGCTCACCTGGAACTTGATATGTAAACCAGGCTAGCTTCAATCTCAGAGCTCCTCCTGCCTCTGCCGTGATTAAAGACGTGCACCACCACACCAGGCTTTCTGCAGACATTTTGTTGTAAGCAGAGAAGGACAGCTGGGATCTAGTAGGTGGAGGCCAGAGACTATTCATTCTACAATGCTGTGGACAATCCCTACAATAATTTATTGGGTCAAAATGTGAAGGCTGAGACAATCCTGATTTGAAAGAAAGTCTGGTTCATGAACTGGCTCTACATCAGCTTCTGAGAAAGATAAATCCCCAAAAAACTTTTTTTTTTAAAAAAAAAAAAAAAAGGTATGGTGGTACATACTTAAAATTCCAACACTCAGGAGACTAAGAGAGAATTTTCAAGTTTGAAGCCATCCTGGGCTACATGTGTACTTCCAGGACAGCCTGGGCTATATAACAAGACCTTGTCTCAAAAAAAAAATAATAATAATACAAAATACAAAATAAAACAAACCAACCAACCTGGCATGAACCTACTTTCCAAAATCCCTGAATTTCAGCCAACTGGCCTAAAGCACACAGCACTTATGGAAGTAGGTCCTCTAAGCAGGGACTTGAGCCTCCCAGTGATCACCCTGCTATTCCACCTCCATCCAACACAGGGCTAACACTTTTCCTTTCCTAGGGCCCAAATTTAGTTAAAATGGGAGGAATTTGGAAATCAGCAATTGGGGAGTTATGAAAGAAATAGTAACCAGTTTGGTATCTCAGCAGTCTTGGAGTGGGTCTCATGTGACCCTGGAGAAGCAATAATAATGGGCTGGGTGTCTCAACATCTCCAATCCAAATCTAAAACCCCAATGGCTTTCACAGGGCACATGATGGTGTGTTTACAAGATGAGTACCATTAAAGAAATGATACAAGGAAAACTGCTCACTAGGCAGTCCTATAACTGCCTCTCCAACAGCTAGGAAACTATACAAAGATGTGCAGGGTAGCTACCCCCAGCCCCAATGAACAGGCCCTCAGACTGCAGTTGAAGGCAACTGTTAACATGCTAAGTGATCATGTAATCACATGGAAAGGCACCCGCCACCCTGGTTGGCAGGGGTGTATGCTGAATGAGGAGTGAGAGGCCTGGGCTCTGGCTCCATCAGAGCCACTGAATGACCTTGATGATGTTGTTTCACATTCTGAATAACAAACCCTGTAAAACTACAGTTAAAATGAAAATGGTATAGAACCTAGCTTTCAAAACCTGAAAAGCATATACAATTTATTCTTTAGAACATCAAATAGTCTTACAAACTTCTATATACAACTGTGAGGAAATTACTCGTCTGCTATCCCCATAGGACCAAAGCATCAGAAAATAACCAGAGATAACTGCTGCATCTTGGCATTGTTACACTAACCCAAGATTGCATTCATTACTTTGGCGGAAGGTAAGGTAAAAAAACTGAAGTCTTTCATGTGATTGCTAAATTATACAGATGAATGCATTTTCTGGGCAAACTTTCAAAATAGAAATCTAGAAGTTAAACATTTTCTTGCGGAAAATAGCACTTAAATGGAAAACTGTACCTTCTGACTCCCTGGTGTGCAACTCATATCCTGTTAATTTAATTCCACAGAGTGCAGCGAACAGAGTAAAAATATATCTACAGTTTAAAATTAAATTGATTTGGCTAAAACTTAATCATAAAAAAATAGGTCCTACTAATTCTTTTTTCCTACAAAGGACAAAAAGATTTATAGAGTATTTAAAATCATTTTTGTAGATATAAAACAAAATACATTCCAGGAAGGCATAATTAAGACTAATTAGAACCACAAACAAACACGTATTCGTATTAACTATAATAAAGTTAATAGCCAATATCCCCACTCCTATATATACTTAGTAAAACAAAGTTTGGTTCTATTAACTGTGAGATTTCTTTGCTAAAAGATCTGAAAATGGGGGCTAAAGCGATGGCTCGGCAATTAAGAGCACTGGCTGCTCTTGCAGAGGACTCAGGTTCAATTCCCAGCACCCACAGGGTGGCTAACAACCACCCATAACTCCAGTTCCAGTGGATCGGATGCCCTCTTCTGACCTCCACAAGCACTGCATGACATGGTGCACTTACATGCAGGCATAACACTCATAAAATAAAAATAAAATTTTTAAAAAATGATCTGACACTGATAGAAACAGTATACTCAACCTGACTGATAAGGACATTTACCAACTCATTCACACATGCAGAAGAGCCTGCCTCTGTTAAATCAACTTCATCTACAATTTGGGTACTACTTTTTGTTAAGACAACATTGCTACCATTTTACTTATTCCTTAATAAACAATTACTTTGAAGAAAATAAAGAGTTGCCATAAATGTGGTCTTTAATGTTTGTATAGTTAGTTTTCACTGGGGAGAAGCAACAGATGAGACAGTCACCTTTCCAGGATATGAACTGACTTCTCTGCAGAAATTACTAGAGATTTAGATGTCTGTCTTCCATGTTGCTCTTCCTTTACTGAGACAGGCTACTCAGCCAAGTCAAGTCACATTGTTAGGACTAAGTGTCACCAAGTGTTTAATGGGATAAAATAACTACTCTTTACCTCCTCACCTTTTCCAATTCAAAGAGAAATTAGAACGATAATACAGAACTTGGGAGAGGGAGCTGAGTGGAAGAACACTTGCCTAGCATGAACAAAGTCCTAGATTTCATCCCCAGTACAACAGCTAGAGGTAGAGGTAGAGGTAGAGGTAGAGGCAGAGGCAGAGGCAGAGAGAGAGAGAGAGAGACAGACAGATAGACAGACAGACACAGACATCATTTGTAGATCTTGATCTTGCCTGATGTGTAGTTCAATGGTACAGTGCAATACCCAGTACTACAAAAACAAAAACAAATATATATGTATACACATATATATAACTATGTGTGTGTCCTCATATATGTAAGCTCTTTAAAAAGAAATACAAAGAGCATGCTATTTTTAAGTAGATATCTTCCATAAGTTTAGGGCATTGTTGACAGCTGAATCTATAAAGAGCATTAAACTCAATCATCTCACAGAAAGAAGTTTACATCTTGCTCTGAACTATGAATTGATGATACGAAAAAGAAAGAAGCTATTTAATGGTTTAACTTCCTATACAGACCTAAGAAGCCTTCCTAAAGCATCTTGTTAAGTAAATCCCAAGAGTGAGGAAAGTGAAAATGTTCCTCAGTATTTATACTCATCACAGGAGACCTGCCCAGTGTAGACCGAGCACACATCTATCAGACAGAATCCGGTCATCTTCAGCACTAGGCCACTTCACACATGAAACTCAAGTCAGCTTCCAAGAGCAACTTATCTTGCCTGTATCTTCCTTCTCTTTTAACATTATGTAGAATGACATCTACATAAAATATTTAGATGCACATTTGGTCAGCTCAAAAATATTATACCCTGCCGGGCGTGGTGGCGCATGCCTGTAGTCCCAGCACTTGGGAGGCAGAGGCAGGCGGATCTCTGTGAGTTCAAGGCCAGCCTGGTCTACATAGTGAGTTCCAGGACAGCTGGGGCTACAGGGAGACCCTGCTTCAAACAAACTAACTAACAAACAAACCAGCTGCAATGAGAAAAAAAAAAAAAATTATACCCTTAGGCACGATAAAAGATCCTCAGAAAATAACCAAGAGTTCCTATTTCCACATAGAAGAAAAAACAAAAACAAAAACCTCCCTAAGGTTTTATTTAAATATGTAACTCCTGATATTGATTTTAAAATACAAGTCTTCCTAATATATTAATCTGATTTAAGAAATTAAGAGTTTTAGTCCTTAAAATTATTAAGAACAAAAACATAATTCAATGCAGAGGCTTTTAAATGTGTTGCTTTTAGTCTACTGAGACAAGTTCATAGATTCATCAGTTTACAAACATACCCAGTACGCACCTTAGTCAATTTATTATCATCTACATTTTAATGAACAGCATGTGGCTAAAATTTCATTTGACAGTGCCTGTATTTGCAATAAATTGCTGCAAGTACCTTAAGGGTCCACAGGTAACTACCGCGTAATTTCTAAAATGTTAATTTGTACACAATGGCTCAATGACAAACATAAAGGACAGAACAAATGGCACGTACTTAAAGAGCTTTTTAAACAGAAAACCTGGCACTTTAAAGCCTTCATCAAAGTCAGCGTCGCTCTCCTCAGAGTCGTCCTCAAGCTTCAGGCATTCCTCTCTGTCCTGCAGCCTCAGCTTATTCCATCTCCTATGGTGAACATAAAAATCATGTTTCCATTATTCAGATTATAAGACAGGTCAGAACAGACAGCTCTACATCATACCCTGGAAAAAAGAACAGGCAAATCAGAATGGTGTTTCAAGGGTTTGCTGCTATCATTACCCAAATGCTAACACTCAAAGAAAACCAACTCTCTCTTCCTGCCTCCTCAAGTCAATTCCTGCTTGAATTATTACAACTACTCCAGAAATATTCCTGTATTTCTCATTTCATTATCAAAACCACTTACTCCTCTTCAGCATACCCTAAGGGAAAATTTCTCTACTAGCTCCTAAGATATATGAACTTAGTCCTAGAAAAGGTTCAGAAAAATTTTAATATAACTCTTTCCAAAATGATAATATAGTAATAACAAAATACACTTAGAATATTTCTGTGCTAAAGATGAAAGTCATATGCATAAAACATGTTTTGAAAAGAAAAATTATTGGTCAAAACTGCTGTATCAGATGATCAACAATGATCTTTTAAAAGAATGTGTTAACTGGATGAAATCTAAGTTAAATTAGTAATATGATTCTTTTAAATACAAAAATGATGAAGATTTGTATATTTCAAAAGCAGGCTTCCATGTTTACTTAACAGAAAAGTAACAACTGTGTGAGTTATGAAAAGTCTTGCAACACAACCATGGCTTGTACAGAGGACAAAGCCATCTAACCAGACTAATTTTACATTCATAGAACTATACTGAACTCTAAGGTTGTGAGTAAAAAGAAAGTTACCAAAGTAAATAACTGTGGATGCTGCTATTTTCAAATAAAAGGATGCCTTTTCCTCAGCTTGCACACAACTGACATTCTAAATACTGTACTGTGGTAGGAATGGAATAAATGGAATAAAGCAGTAATACTGATAAATACCTCAAACTATAAAGCACACAGACCAGGAGTATACATAAGGCATAGAGAACATAAAAGTGCTGGCTGTAGACACATCCTGCTATTGAGAACCCATCATAAAAGCAATATGGAGGCAACAGGCAAGAGTCATGAGCAACCCCATCCAGGAAGTTGCTGGTGGGCAGTAAAGAACACCCTCTTCAAAACTGTTGCCTAGGGGCTAGAGGGATGGCTCAATGGTTAGGACTGCCTATTGCTCTTGCAGAGGATCGAGGTTCAGTTCCTAGCACTCAAATGACAGTCCACAACTTGTTGGTACCTCCAGTTCCAGTGGATGCCCTCTTCTGGCCTCAAAAGGCTCCTGCATACAAGACACACACAAACTCAAGCATTCGTGTACACGTGCATACACACACACATACACACACACAAAAAAAAATTTTAAATAAATAAAATTATGGGGCTGGAGGGATGGCTCAGTAGTTAAGAGCACTGGCTGCTCTTACAGAAAACCAGGGTTCAGTTCCCAGCACCCATATGGCAGCAACAACCATCTGTAACTCCAGTTCCAAGGGATCTGACACCCTCTTCTGACCTCCACCAGCACTGTATGATATGGATGTATTTACATACATGTGGGCAATACACTCTCACACATAAAATAAAAATAAATTTTTTTAAAAATTATTTTTTGGTCTTTTTGAGACAGGGTCTCCCTCTAGCCCCAGCTGGCCTGGAACTCACTACGTAGACCAGGCTGGCCACGAACTCACAAAGATCCGCCTCTGCCTCCCAAGCACTGGGATTTTAAAGGTGTGTGCCACCACACCCGGCTTAAATAAAATAGTTTTAAAGAATAAATAAAATTAAAACTCTTGGCTAGTTAAAAAGTTCAACTCATCAAAATAACTGATATTTACTTGTGACCAATAAGAAAGCACTAGTTGGTAACTTGGAATTGTTCTGTAGTGTGGTAAGAACTTGGAGAAATAAGATTAACAAAGTCTTACTGGTAACTTCCAGAGAATAGCAGCGAACCAAAGAGGCACTACTAGAGCCAAGCTAGAGAAATAGCTTTCACACACCCTAAGATTTAATATGTGACACTTCTTTACATAAAAAAACTTAATGTCCTTTGTGTTTAACTGCTAAAGACAATATCTTCCTCTGTTTTATTAGTATTTTTCTTCCTTAAAAATTATCTCTACACAATTGGCAAGGTCAGTAACTCCAGCTGGTTATAACAACCTGCTGTTCTTCCAAGATTCATGTTATTTACAAACTGAGTTTAGTGCAATAGAAACTACAGCGGTTCTCAACAGAGACAACTGTGCCAAACTCAGTGGCACACTTAGGACAGTCCATTCACCCAACAAAAAGTTACCTAGTCTCACATGTCAATAGTATCAAAGCCAAGAAAGCCTGGCATACTGGAAGATCTGCATCAGAACACCAACAGTGGGAAGGTATAGGAACTACCCTGGTGCACACCTGCATCTGTACTGCTTAGTCTCTGAATTTCACAGTTTCAGATAATGAGATAATCCTTGATAGCCAAACTCTGAGTTTCAGAACTCAATACCAAATACCTGTATAATAAAGAATACCCATATTCAGCAAATTTTGTGAAAAAGGTGAAACTGTAAAAATCACGGAAACTACTACAGGTACTTAAAAAGACTTCATTTTGAAATTTTTCTACAATAATTTCATAAGAAGAGAAATAAAAACACCAGAAAAAAATTGTGGCCTTAGCTATTTGGCACAACACGATCATTAAAGACTTTCTATACCAAGTATTACATATTGAATTTCATTCCTAGATGATAGCTACTTCCTTAGACTTTACCATTAAATTTTTGTGGCTGTTAAATGTCCCACCACATCATTCTACACTGACAAGATTTCATCTTTGCCTCTTGCCTTCCTCTCTCTGTCCTAAAATATGCAGACATCATGTTGCCACAGAATTCAGCACCTAGGAAACCACATAAGCCACCACAGAAATGATTACAGCCAAGTGCCTTCCGCTTCATAAAGAAAGATGAAAGAGCTGAACATTTATTCAGTTGGCCAAAGAATAAGGAAAGGCGGTGGGGATAAATCACTACAGTCAACAAGCACCTGTACCAGTGTGAAGACAAATTGCCTCAGTAGAATCCTATACACATCTTCAAGACAGAAAATACAACCACATGCACACGCGGCTCAGGCTAGGAAGACTCTTATATACAGCAATACTTCCTTGTGTGGCTTGGGGCTGACCATCTGAGGTGTGGACAACCTGGCACACTCAAGAAAGGGAGAGCGGAAGTTATCCAAACATAGAAGATGTAGCTCAGTGGTAGGGTACTTGCCTAGCATATCTGTGGGCCGAGGTTCCAGCCCCAGCAGTACAAAAACAGAAAAAAAAAAAAAAAAAAAAAAAAAAAAAAAAAAAAAAAGAAGCAAAGTATAGAAACAGTGGCATTCCCCATCCTAGGTGTGGCCAAAGTCTTTTAAAATAATTGTATTTGTGTATTTTGTGTGTATATGTGGCATGCACATATTACAGTATGCACATGAAGGTCAGAGGACATTTTTCTTGAATTCATGTCTCCTTCCAGCTCACATTCAAGGCATCAGGCTTATGCAGCAAGTCATCTCACCAGCCCAAGAATGTTTTTAAAGGTGCCCCCTTCAGAACGACATCCAGATCCAGCTTTGTCCTACAGCATGGCAGGCTGAGCAAACTGTCTGGCCAATGCTCGTAAAGGGTATAACTGTGCTATGAATACACTGAGTAGGAAAAGACAGAAGGAGGGGCCTCCATGCTGACTGACCAGAATCAAATCCTCCAGCATTTTTAGTGTTAGTTACCTTTCTGTCATTGTGTCAAAATACATAAGATAATCAACGTAAAAGAAGATTTATTTTGACTCATGGTTTTAGAGATTTTATGGTCACTTGGTTGACTTGTAACAAAAAGCAGATAGAGAATAACTTAAAGTCAGCTGGAGGTAGGATACTATCCAACATTCATCTTTTTTAGAAAAGAGTAACTTTCATGTTCTCCATCCTCTCGTTTAAAAAAATCTACACATGTAATAGTCACAGCTGCGGCCACATAAAGCGAAGTGGGCCTGGTGTTCCCTGGCAGGGCTTCCAACTCCTCACACAACTGCCATGCTCAGCCCACTACTGATTCCACCAATAGCTACTTAGAAGGAAAGCCAGTAATAAACTCAAATTCTGATCATATGCAGGCACAGAAAACACTCCCTGGCTTCCCCATGTGCATGCAGGAATGAGACCCTGGCCCAGGCTCTGAGGCCTGGGGCTGATGCTGCAGTAAAGCCTGTCAGAAACAACTCAGATCCAGCCTAACAACTGAACTACACAACTCGTGTAAGTTAGTGGGGCGGTCTTGTCAATGGAACCCTAAGAATACACCTGTAAGCTAGGTGCAACCATTTAGAGTTATTTTAGAATTTCTAGAATTCCAAGGGCATTCCAATTACCTAAGAGGAAAAACATAGCTGCGGCATTATGCCATGCCTTGCATGTGGCTTTGACTCTTCACCTACATATCCAGTCCTGTCCCCAGCCTCTGTCCTCCAACGTTCTCATCCTCACACCTGGTAGAGACTTCAGATCCCCGGTCCCCTTCCCTAGGAGAAAGCTTTCCCTGAGCAGGCAGAGTTAGGCATCCTGTCTACCAAGCGCCATCCTAACTCTGTGACATCCTAAGCACCCTGGGGTCTCCTCTACAGGCCGACTTGAGTGTTGGCATATAGTGAAATCCTTATCTGTCTCCCATTAGACTGGGAGCCATCCGAGGACGGAGACCAGCAGGATGCCTCCCTCCCAGCAGACACTCAATAATGCTGAGTAAAGAAGTTCAGAACTGGGACAGGAATAAGGAAGACAGCAGGCAGAGAAACGCGAATTGAAAATGGTCTAAAGAGTCATCAAGAAACATTTCTAGGAGTTTCCTGTTCCACCTCATTTCCAGCCTACCTCTTGCTTTTTAACTTACTCCTACCCACCTGATTCTAAGGCTCCATATGTTTGCTTTGCCCACTAGACAAACATGATTAAGGTCTGCAACAAGGAATGACCCATGGAAGAGGGCAGCTAGCTACA